CCCTGGATTCAGACCCAGGCCCTGGATTCAGACCCTGGCCCTGGATTCAGACCCAGGCCCTGGATTCAGACCCAGGCCCTGGATTCAGACCCAGGCCCTGGATTAAGACACGCTGCAGCTTGGCCCTCATGACCCGGCTCGGTCCAGGGTGTTCTGCACGGTAAGCTAACGGTTAACCAGGTAGAAGCAGGTGTGAGCTCCGGCTCAAACACCTCACCTGTTCAGGTGTTGTTGACAGGTTTGTATAATGAGGGGGTGGAGTCACAGCTCTACCTGTCCTCTCGGCCCCTCTGACACGCTGCTCCTGACTGCACATCATCATCATCWTCATCTTCGTCTTCGTCAGTGTGTCCCGATGTGTTGGTCGGCGTCTTGTTGATGGTAATTTATTGTTCATGTAATCAAATCCTGCCATGTGCTCGGCGTTCGCCCGGCGGCACGTTCCGTGTTAATTAGGCTGCGGAGGAACAGTGTGGAAGGAGAACGCAGAGCAGAGACGTGGAAAGTTGTTGACAGACAATCAACTTCTCACTTTCAGAGGAGCTAGGAGGAGAAACGATGGTGGCAAACGGCTGCAGATCTGCAGCCAAGCTGAGCCTGTTTGGTGTCATTAGCAAGTTTTTTTTTGACTGTGTGGAAAGAAGGATATTAATACGATTTATCATCTCAACTTATGAACATATGAATCAGTGTTTACTGACGATGTGCAGCCATGCCTGCAGGGACAGGCTCAGTGTGTCCTCACAGCATGGTCCATCCCAAATCTGGTTCTGTGTGATGGTTCTACAGGTTCTGTTTGATGGTTCCACAGTCTCAGTGTGTCCTCACAGCATGGTCCATCCCAAATCTGGTTCTGTGTGATGGTTCTACAGGTCCTGTGTGATGGTTCTACAGGTTCTGTGTGATGGTTCTACAGTCTCAGTGTGTCCTTACAGCATGGTCCATCCCAAATCTGGTTCTGTGTGATGGTTCTACAGGTCCTGTGTGATGGTTCTACAGGTTCTGTTTGATGGTTCTACAGGTTCTGTTTGATGTTTGTACAGGCTCAGTGTGTCCTCACAGGATGGTCCATCCCAAATCTGGTTCTGTGTGAGGGTTCTACAGGTTCTGTGTGATGGTTCTACAGGTTCTGTTTGATGTTTGTACAGGCTCAGTGTGTCCTCACAGGA